TTGACTGTTCGGTGTTGTGTTACTCAGTTGGTTTCTTGATGGTAATTAAACTGGCATTTTGTGCGTAATATTTATTTTTTTCTTTCTTATATGGAGCATTATATTGTGTACTATTATAAGAATACCACAGTAGTACATTATGTACACAGTTTACACATGGGTCCGGTCAAGTGGTAACGGAGGGAAACGGGGGCAGATTTTGTACATTCAAATGTCTCTTATTCAGAAACTAGAGGGACTATTGAAATAAGTAAAGTATCAGAATGTAGGAAAGAGTTACACTCCAACAGGGTCAAGTTAAACCTGTGATATTCTTTCAAGTTGTTGACAAAAAATTTAAAAAACTCATGTCGGTAACAGAGGGAATGAAATATGCAGCACTTTTTGGGCAATAAATCCAAACAGTGATAACTAGTGGTTCTCACTTACATATCCTTAACAAACTGGTTTGAATATTTGCTTCATATAGTTTTCTACCATATGGTACAAGGATTAGGTTGAAAAACCTCTTACTTTTTGAGTAATGAGATTTTTTATTAAGAAAGGTCATGGTAACGGAGGGAAAATTGTGCAAGCAAGTAGAAGGTGCATGATTTTACATAATTTGTCGCTTTTTTCTTCCGAATACTTTAGTATTACTTCAAAATGAAAGGAAACTATTTCTCTAAAATATGTCAGTCCTTCCAAGCAAATTTTTATCATTTTAAATACATAAAAAAAAATAAAAAATCATTACCTTCATCAACAGTTCAAAGATCAAATAACACGAGATATGATGAAAAACATCCATTTATTTACATGATTTGCCGGTTTTTGAAATTTGGGAAATAATTTTTGTTCCATGTTTCATACATGGTCTGTTTAAAACATATGGAACTTTAGAACCAAAAATGGTACAGAAAAAAGGTCAACAGTTTCATAAACTAGAGTAAATATGTATCTGTTCAATACATTTTTATATCAGATGCATTAACTTTTTGGCCTTGCTGTTTACTTCTGCTTGACCGGGCCCACATGCCATGCAGATCTTTGTCTTGGTCACATTGTAGTTGTCATTTTTCTTGTTGTTCTCTGCAAAGCATCAGCATCACCTGTCAAGTGAACAAGTTTCCTGTGACTAAATTTAGAAACCACCCCTTTCTCTCTTCTGTTGCTTATAATGCACTTCTAATACAAGATTGCTATTAATATTTAAAGGTGAACAAAGTACTACAGTAAGTGGAGAACTTTTGCTAAGTATTTCTACAGTTTGAAGATGATATCAAAGATGCGTGGGATCCACTGTAGTAGACTCAACTACTAAAATATCATTTTTTTAAGATTTCAAAAGGAGATTTCAAAATACCTTTTATCCAGCGTCTGGGTGATAGGGCAAACATGTAGCTCAATTTTATTCCTCATACTGATTGATCTTGATTTTGTGTTGCTATTATGTCTTCTTTTCAAAACCAAAATACTTTTATGAATTCAAACATGACAGACTATTAACCATTGACCTTTTAACACTGAAAATACTTACATTGTGTCCTCTAAGCCTGAACTCTGCTCCAAACCTCATGCTTTTACTGACAAAAAAGGATATCACTGACCATTATACTCTGAATCTCGATTAAAATACGATTACTTGCCCCGCCCTACTTTAGCCCCATTCTGTTTCTGTATTTAGCACACTACCTTATCCCCTAGCACCTTTTCACCTTTCCTCTCATAACATCCGTTGTCACAGTGCCGGCCTGCTGCATTGCTCACTTCCAGTCTGTTCGGTCATTTACAGAGAATGAAGCGCAGTAAAAACACTGTCCAGCTAACTGTTCTTTTTAAAGATGTCCTCGCAACCTGAATCCACCCCGGCTTAGGGTGTCATGCCTCGAATGTATTTATATCCGTGTTGATACTTTACAACCCCCACAGTATTTTTGAGTTTTGGCTCATTTTCCAAATATATACTAGAAAATATGAGACTGTGTTGTTGATTGGAACAATAGCTGTAATATATTAAAACTCAATCAATGATAAAAACAGTGCAATCAAAGAAACAAATTAGATTCTGAAAAATATGTTTCTTCCCCTCAAATCAGGAGCAAAGATACAAATACTATCTGCAGTGGGTTTAAAATGATGATAAATTATATGTCTATTCATTATCATACAGAAGATCAACAGATATGTTTTTTTTTTTTTTTTTTTTTTTTTCATTTTTTTTCACAATCTTGATTATTTATTTACAACATAAAGCCCCGTTGTATTGTAATCCATTATGTGTAGTCATGTTTTCTGCAATCATAATAAGTAAGTCAATTTATTATTATTTATGTATGCATTTATTTTGGGCAAGTAAAGATTTACATTTATATACAATGGAACATATAACATAAGTGAAATCATAATAGAAATTAAAATAACAACAAAAAAATTTACTATTATCATTACTATTTTGCCCAAAAAGGAGTGGGAAGGAGAAAACTTATTTAATCCCACCCCTACTCTTCATAATCTGACACAATGAGTTTATTTTGCGTTTTTCAGACATTTTGAATTAAACTATATGAACTATTTACAAGTGCAGACAAAGAGTCACTGTTATAGTTTGGTAGTATAACATAAATGTACCAGCAATTTTAAAGTTAAGGATACAGACAATGGTAAGAAACAACAAATACAAGTAATGTAACGGACAGAACAAACCAGCAATGGTAAGAAAACAACAAATATAAACCAGCGCTACAGAGGCAGCATTGTTCTAATATTATGAAAACTCTAAATTACTAACTTTGATCATAATCAGTGTAATTGTGCTCATATATATATATATTTTTTCATTTCATTTCAAGCATGTGTATCAAAAATGTATGTTCATAAATTATAACTGATCATTATTCCTCCTTTGAAAACTCTAAATACTCTTCAACTGCGTCGCTTTGAACTCGCAGCTTATTTTTGTGGTGTTTTAATTTCGCCCCACTTCTAGCCCACAAAAACCAAGTGCATTCAGCATGTGGGAAATTGTCAAGCAGTGAATTCCCATAAGGGCCCATCACCACGTCTCTGCAGTAAAAGATCCTGAAAAGCCTTGACCGAGCGAGTCACTTGGGGCATTGTACAGTGTCTGCTTGTAACAAAGGTGTCACCACAGTTACCATGTTTCAACTGATGCAACCAGCAGATAATACTTGACACAAAATGGTCACTCCACCTGGCCGTAGCGTAAAGAATAATATAGTTGTAGAGATGGTTGCTTTGGGCAATGTGAAATAAATGCTTTACAATAATACTCAAATAGACAGCAACCATGTCTGAAAATGTTTTAGCTGTAGTTTTGTTATGATTTCTGTCAATTTTATGTATTTTCTGAGTTTTCCTTTACATAGACCCTTTGCTAAATGTCCTTCAGTTCTCCTTCTGCATCAAACAGCCTGAATCTGTTTGGAGTTCCCGTTCTAGAGGTAGATGTAATGATCCAAGTTTCCAATCTCATGCAGAGAACCAAGTTGTGTTTTTATAGACCCAACCGTGTGTTGAGATTTTACTGTTTTCTACTTGGAGCTTTTTCCCCTTTGCAGCAGAAATGCTTCAGTGGGTCCTCTCATATCGAAACTCTTTCAATATCGTCACACCTACTGTCACCAAAGGACAGGCTCTGTTTTTGATATGTGACCGACAGCGGGGGGAAAATGGCCTCAATATTCTGTGGAAAAAAAATAAAACATTAGGTATATCTCAGAGTTTAGGGACGGGCTAGAAGTGAGCTCAAACCTGACTAAAAAGCAGATGCAGTGAACAGCAAAAAGTATCCATAAGGGGAGAAGTGAATTGGGAGGGATGTTGCCCTCGGCGCTGCAGTTGAAGGTAGTCAACATGAAAAGGATAAATCTTATCCCTGGCAGCCATCTTGGACTCCTTGGTGTAACTCCAAATGGTGTGAGGAGAAATACAAGAGGAAAAAAGGATCCAACTATCCATCTCCAAAGCTGTAAAAGTTATACTGTAATCTAGGTTTTTTGTTTGCCTTAAAATTACATAGACAGAAAGTTTTTTTTTTTTTTTCTGAAAGTGGAACTTAGTAAGGGTAAGGTTGGAGTAAGCCAACTTTCTGATAGAGAATATGCATTATATAAAAATAAAATAAACAGTATATTGCATTTGCTTTGTACATTCTGAATATACTATGTACTGAGCATAAAAATACAGTTGAAAAGTTGAAAATTGGGCAGTTCAGTACTTTTCATGGTGTGAATTCTTGCAGTCACATTATTTTCTCCACCGGGCATCTGCTGCCAAGCAAAATGGAGACACCATAGGGATCTCTCTCTTGTTTCTTCCTTCTTTCTCTCTCACCCCTTTTTGATGTTCTACGTCCATCTCATTGTCTCTGGCAAAATCCTCAAGGGAAATCATTTGTGACGTGCACACACTTGCACAGAAGGGGATCCACTCTTTCATGAAAGCGCTGTATGAATAACAAACCCAAAGTTCCACCCTCAACACTCACGGCTCTGGACTGAGCAGTGTCTCCTACACTATTCTGTTCCAATGGTGACCCCCCAACACACACACACACACACACACCTACACACACTCAGTTTGACCCCTCGCACAAAGGAAAAGGCATGCATTCATTATGGCTTCCAGGGAGGCTTTCACTGGTTAGTCATTGTTGGCTAATCCAAGGTCCCACCGTATATCACCTTCACTTTGGTCCTACGCCCATCCATCTTAGTCCCTCTTTTCACTATCCTGTCAGTAAATCGCACTCACTCTCTCCCTCTGGTTTTCATTATGTGACATGAAGTTGGGGACTTGCTTACCAATGAGCAATTTCAAATTGACATGGGAAAAACCCTGTGGTCAAAGAGCATTCGACAATGACTTTTATTTGGCCAAATCAGTTAAAGCAGGTTTACAATTGACTTTTTCAGGTCAGACTTTTTGTTGCTTTTATGTCCACTTTTTTCATTTTCAGATAATTCTAACTATGCCCTCTGTATTTTCTCTCTTTACAGATCTGTAAGGTGCACGGCACAATGGGAACCCTAAGCCTCTGAGGGTGGAGCACAAAAGACCAAACGGAATTGGCCATATAAAGCCAACGAGGGACAAAAGAGGAGGAGAAGGTGGGACAGGAGCAGGCGGAACAATTCTAACCCGGCGCCAAGCCAGCAAGCAGGAGAGCTTTTCAACTGAAGAAGGGGTGGAGAAAGAAGAGAGGGGGGAGTGAAAGGAGGGTGTTGTTTTACCTCCCTTGGGTGCATGCACCCTCTCAACACCCCCGCAACGTGGACATCCACTTTTTTATTTGTTAGTGACAGGCTAACAAAAGGAGAAGAATGCGCAATAAAGCAAGTATTGAATGCCTTTGGGCAAAGAGCGGCCTTAGCATGACACTACCCAGGACTAGAGCTTTGATGTTGGGCCTTCTACTGGCTGTGACAGGATGGTTAACCCCAGTGGTGGCAGATGTGCAGATGGATGACATGGTGATAATAGACGCTGGTGGAGAGCAGGGCGCACTAGGCCTGGAGCTGGAGGCTTCCATGCACTCGTCGCTCCTGCAGGGTTTCCACGAAGTAACACACGATGTCAGGACACTAGGACCTGCTGTGGCCCAGCAGAACACAGCTGCACCCACTGCCTTCCCAGATTCCTCAGCGGTAGTCGGGCGGATCTTCAGAATGAAGGTGCCGAACAAGATGGAGGGCGTCTACCTTGGTGATATCGTCAAGGTGGGTTACTGCTTTACTAAAATAAGCATATTGTTGTTGTCGTTATTTTTTTCTTACAACTTGTTTAAAGTAAAAAAAACAAAATTGTTTAATGAAATTTAATGCAAATTAGACAAAAGCAGTTGTCCCTGCCACAACATGTAAGGATGGACCCAGACAACATTTAAGCATTAAAAACGCATGAGAAAAAAGTAAGGTGGCCTCTATAAACATTTAAAAGCTGAGAATACAAGGCAAAATGCATTTAACCTCACACAGCAATATGTCTAAAATGCCCTTTTTTAATTGCACCAGAATGGCCAATTTTGTATAACACGTTGAGTTTAGTATGTTAATTGGAACACTGTAGTGGAATCTTCTTGGCCATTACTTGCCTGTTTCCACTTCCTCATTAGCTTGTGCATTCTTTGCTTGTTCTTTGTTAGCCTAATCCTGCCTATTCATACCTCTGCCCACTTTACTTAATTCCATTTATCTTTTACTGTCTGGCCTGATTTTTAGCCTTCCTCCTTTACATAAAAAAAATAATTCCTCTTCATCCCCTTTTGTCGAGCTGCCCGCACTTTATTCCTGGCTTGCTCTCCTCCAAGGTAAACCATAATATTGTACGCCTGCAGTCCATCTTGCATAAAACTGTATCACACATTATGTTTATCTGGTTTGTCTTTTGGCTTTCGCCTCATCTCTATATTCGTCTTGTCTTCCCTTAATCATATTTTCTCCCATTTTGCCTTCATCCCTTGTTCCGTCTCTCCGCCCATGTCAAATCACATCAGATCAAATCAATCTTGCCCTGCAGTGTGAAGTGACATGGAAATATATTTACTCTCTTTAAATATTTTAGCAAAAACAATTATATTATTATATTTTTTTAAGAAGGGACCAGAAATGAAATTGAAACACTCGTTAGTAAGTTTAATAATAGCTGATCAAGTGTAGTTTAGTTGCCTCCTGCCACACAACCCAGCAGTAGTTCTCGATTTGTAAATTAGCCTATATTTTATGAAGCACTTACAAAAAGCATAACTGGGTCAGCTGCCAGCCTGGTGTGGATAGATAAAGCACTTTCAATGGTAGTTTATGGGATGTAGTTATTGTTTACCAGTGCCACCAATTATTTTTCAGCTAGGGCACATCTGAAGTTTTTGCCAGATAACTTCTTTTCCATTTTCATTTTGTTTGGCCCACTTTTTCACACATTGTTTGCCCTAACACCTTTTCTCTTCGCTATTCTTTTGTTAACTTACTGTTTTTATGATGACCCCCCAACCCTAACCTCCTGTTCAAAACTTGTAATGAAAAGTTATGTTTTGGAAATAGTATTTTTAGGGAGGCTATATTTTTGTGTCATATTGGCCAAACACTGTGCTCATGCTTTATCCACTTAATAATCTGTAGAAATGTAAAATACCTGTATGGAATATTTTCAAAAGGGCTAAAGGTTGAATTTTAAACTGGTGTTCATGTCCTATTATCATTCTCTCCATCACTATGTCCACCTCACCATTTGTTCAGCTAGATCAGGGGTGCTCAATACGTCGATCGCGATCTACCAGTCGATCGCCAAGGTCGTGTGGGTAGATCGCCGTGTCTCGTCTCGGACTCGATCGCGTTTGGACTCGGTCTTGTCTCTCACTCAAGATCTGACACTCAACAAGTGTGATCATATTTCATTACGGCCGCTGCTGTTGGTAATAAACTTGTAGCGGGTGCAGGAGCGTGTGGGGCGTCTCAGTGCAGCCTGTGCGCTCATTTGAAACCCGCGGAGACTCTACGGCACATCACAAACACACACGCTCCCTATGCACGACTCGTCTGCGACAGCGTGTGCCCTCGTGTACCAGCGTGCATCACAGGGCAGGTTCAACTTCCTAAACATCCTACCTGTCCATCTGCCTCACGTCAGCACGCCGCCCCTCGCCTTTTCACGCTCTCGCTCCTTCCTGCGTACAGCGAACACAAGCCCCTCCCACAGTGCGGCTGATTAGAAGAGCAAGACCAAACGTGAAGCAAAAACCAGTCTAAATTTGTGTTACAGTGTTGGCACAAAGCAGGTCTACAGCATAGAGTGGATCTACAGAACAGACCTACTGCCACATTTGGCTGAAGTTTGTCTGACAAAAGTGCACAAATGCATCTGTGTTTGTCACGATGTGCGTTTGGTTTGGTAAATGTGCAGAGGCTGGTAAATATCACTGCAAAACCAGAAAAGAATGAAACTCCAGTTTGGAACTTTAAAAAACAGGTTTAAAAATCTTCCTTCACTTTTTTCACAGTTTTGTGTAAAGTGCCAGAGGAAGTTCTCTTAAAGAAGGGTTCTCAAACTGTGGGTGAGGGTCCAAAAAAGGGGCACAGAGTGTTTCAGTGCAGTTTGCTTGGCTTTGTATTAGGTAGATCATTTTGACTTGGTCCTTTTGTAAGTAGCTCACATGCTGAAAAAGTGTGAGATGATACCTGATTACATTTGTCACACTGTAGGCTTAGGGCCCCAAATTCAAATCAACACGAACTGACAGACCAGAAACCAGATCTCAGAAATGCACCAATTCAGCTTTTCTGTACCAATACCGATGTCGATATTTTGAGTATCTGATGATATCCGATATCAACTGATACAAGTGCAAAAACAGAAAATATAGCATTTATTTCTTTTAAACACAAAGGGTGTATGATAAACAGTGATTTAAATGTGTATCGGTGCTGATATTGGACACTAGTATGGTATCAGTGCATCCCTAGTTGGTGGATTAGTAAAACAAAAAAAGGTGAGAATAAGACTTTGAGTATCTGTTAAGTATGTTTGAAATAAAAGGTCAGTTGTAGGTTAGGCAGCATACCATCTGTCTTTTCTTGAACTTTTCCTCTGAAAGAACAGGGCCCTCATCTCTACCTGTCAGTTAAAATACACACAACTTCAAGCACGTTTGTTGACTTGCCATACCTTTTTAATTTCACTTTTTCCCCTGCTGCCATGTATACGCTTTGTATTGAATTTCAACAGTCCTCCGTCATGCGCTCCTCTCCCCTTCAGATGTCAGTCCCCCTTTAGGTATTTCGAAGGTTGGTGGTGCTCAAGGTTGTGGAGCGAAAGGCCAAATCAATTTTTTGTGCTTGCCGTTGCACTCATACTAATAGCTCTTTCTTATGAAAATCTGCCAGAGGTCTCCCGCGCGGTGACAGCCCTGACTGCCCATTCACCTTTCGCAGCGCGCACCAGAGCCCATCAGTGAGAGCAGCAGCTTTTATTCATTCACTTCACACACACGTTTCGCTTCTAGGTGCAGGACATTGACCTCAGAGGACAGAGTTTTACACACCTAATATGGTTCTTGTAACTGACTTCATACCTGCAAGACTTACTCACTGCAAACACAAACTGGGTAGCAACTGAGCAGCACCAAAGCATTTACATCTATTTGTTTACATTTACCGTTTAAAATAAAAAGTAATTTCTCGTCTTATGCTATCATAACTCTAGAAACAGAGTTGTAGAATTGTAGAAATAGAGAAATAGAGCGGTTCTTATTTCCCTCGGTACACAGCAGATGGTTAGGCATTCAAACCATTTTCTGCTGTATGTTCCTAAAAACCATCTTTGTCAGTCATTGTTGTATTGTGAATATTAAATGTAAAAAATAGTGGTTCCATGTAATTCTTCATTAAAGTTATCATCATCATCACAGCAAATTTCACTAGAGAATATTTACATTTTTCATAACTTTATAATACGAACATCAGTATAGTTCAGTAGGATAGTATTTGACAGTGTTGTCCCCATGCAAGAAATAAAGTAAAAGAGTTATCTTTAATGAAAGGCCCCGTACTAGATTTTTACTGCTGTCAAAACGTGAAAAGACCAAGATCATTATAAACTGTTTGCAGAGATCCAAAGTTGTCCCTTACTTTCCTAATGCATTGTGCAGCTAGCATTACTTCCTGGTTCATGGATCATAAAAATACTTTATAATTCGATGCAGACTGTACGACCTGATTTTGACCCTAGAAAATGATAACAATCTTTATCTGTACTGGGATAAAACACATTTTAGTTTATTACATGAAAGAAAAAAAAAAATCATGTACTTTTAATGTTAAATTATTTGAGTAATATTATTTTAGTGCAATTTAGTATTGTGACTTTGTTGTTGATTAAACTTGATTGCAAAATGAGAATCAAATGCCAGAGTTGCACGAGTCATCTGTGGGGCAGGAAGCCCATCCGTACAGAGGTAATTTAGTAGAGGCGCTGCAGGTGAAATGGCAGGACCTTTGCGGCAGAGGCATCATCTGTATGCAGGTGCTGCTGGGACACCGATGCCCTACAGAACTTGTATGGTCTATACTGTTATTAATGAAAGTGAACGGGCTTTCCTGGCCAACAGATGAGCGCTCTCAATAGCCTCATTACCACAATTACCAGCATAATTAGCTGATCGGCTGATGGACCGGCTGGCACGCACTGCGGCTTTTCCTTGTCCATTCTTTTTCCACATGTTCCGTTCCCGAAACAGACTGGAGCTGCAAATTCTTCTGTACTTTGTTGATTCTCTTTGTTGTCGACGTGTGGTGTGCCTGGAAGCATATGTTATTTTCCGTTGTGGATTTTTTTAAAAACTAAATGCTATTTTCAAACGGCTTTGTAATTGCTTCTCATTAGCATTCCTTTACTCAGCATTTTTGTCTTCCCCCAAAGCAAACCTCTTGATAACAATATTGGGAGATTGTCGACTCCTGCTGTAAAGGATGAAAAAGCAGAACATTATAAATATTGTGTATATGTGCTTGTGTGCTTGTGTGCAACTCTTCATTGCATCCTCTCATACAACGCATGCATATTTAAGTCCTTTTTGTCAGAGATGAGAGATTGGGTGACTCCGCGGCTGTCAGGACACATTGACTGCAGTTTAGATGGCCCGTCTTTTGATGAATGGAGACAGAAGCTTGCTCTTGGAAACGGCCCTTCCCCTTGAGCCCATTTTTAGCGAAGGGGGGACTTACTT